CTGCTCGTCCGTCTCACGGAACGAATGCTCGCCGCTCAGACGTGTATGCACATATTGGAGCAGTCAAATCCTCATAGTGTGTGCACTCGATGTCGCTCGGAGGGGGACTTCCCGGACGCTCAGGGCGTCGATCATCGCAGATGCCAGCCGGCGCAAATGGAACCTGAGCAATCCGTCTTCGAGGAATCATGGACATACACCAGTTGCTGTTGGACCACGTGATAATCTCGATACGACTTGGAATGCGCTGGAGAGACGTTTGGAGCAAGTCCGCGGGAATATCTTGGGAGAGAACCGGAATCCGAAGATCGGTCTCTACACGACCGGGGAATCTAGACGGAGTCGCAGTCGTTCTGAATGAAAGAGGAGGCCGAATGCAATTGATCTCCTCCCGGCTTATCGATGGCGAGCAAGCCGGAGCTGTTCAGGGATTCGGAACATTGCTCCCAGCTCAGACGCGGCTCCGTAAGAAACTTGAAACGTAAACCATGTCGTTCCTCAGAGCCACGCGACAGATACCCGAGAAGAGCGCCTGTAGCTGGCACCTGCCCGGCCTCTCCCAATATATCTGATCATCTTGAATATGTAACGGCAACGCGACGTCGCCGGAGGTTAGAAGGCTCGCTGCATCCGATCCGCTTGTCCTGGCCTTCGCCGCGTTCCACACCGTGGCTATGGAATGTCCCGGTCGTGTTGATTCCGCTTTGTGCCGAGCAAACGACCCAGTGCCTCCTCGTCTTTCGATGCGCTAGCCGACAATTACATGCTCGCATTCACACATAAACAACGACTCCACCAAATCACGTCGATTAGAATACGCGTTGAAGGCTCGTCGGGGGCCCCTCTATCCACGTGTAGGCGATTCCACATCTGGCTCACCATAAATCTCAGCTTATCGGAAGACCTTGCGATGCGTCTGATGCGGGGACTTGTCGGAACGACGCAACGAACCGTTTCGACCTCGGCGACGCGGTTTTCGACTAGATTTGGCGTACGTTCTTCTCGCAGTTTTGTTTGCACGCAATAGAAGAAAGAAGTTCGTCTCGCGGCTAAGACAACGACGGGACAGATTCGCGACCGCCCATCAGGCGCATGCGAATCATCGTCAACAATGACGACGACAAGAGAGGAATAATTGTTCGCGCTACATAGAAGTCGGGGAAGCTGATTGGGCTGCCTCCGGCGATGAAAGCCGTTCTGCTGGGGGAAGAGTCCCGAGGGTCAAGAGATGTTGTATTCACCACGCTACGAGGGGAACCTCTCCTGACCAGACTCCCGTAGGACTCATTCAGCGGTAGCAGCAGGGATGTGGTGCTGGAACGCTGGACTTACCTACACGCGAGCTTCGAAAACATCGTCCAGTTCGTCAGAGAGGACTAGTTGGGAACGAGCTCGGGAAGTGGTTCCACCGGGGCGGGGGAGCCCTCAACGAGGGGAAACCCACACCGACACGGAGTGAAGTTCGCTCCGCACACGAAACTTCGCGCATTCTCATGCTGAAAGGTCATTCAATGTTCAGAATTATAGGAAGCCGTGGAAGCAGCGGCCTATGGATGGAATCAATAGCACGTCTGTCTTCGGTGACCTTGGACGGAAGAGGAGCGGAACTGACTTCTCTTCCTGGTCAATATTTCAGAGCGACGATCGCACTCAAAAGGCACTGCGCTATCGAGTGCTCTTGTCTATATTTAGACCTACTCGGGTCCTCACGGGAGGCACTCATTAAACAGCAGCCCTTGTTAGGACTTAATAATCTTCGCTGAACAGAAGAACGGAGGGAAAAAAAGGAAGAATTAATCGCGGTGCTCTTAATCGAATCAGGACTCTTGGAAAGGCAAGTTCGATGCCTTTCCTCGCGAAATCATTCGGGGAGTCCTTAAGTTGACGCATAATATCCTCGATGTTTCGTGCGCTGGAATGCAGTGAAGCTCATCGGAATATTCTGCTTCGAAGCGAGATTCGATTCCCTGTCCTCCAAGCCCTCCGAGTGAACAATCAGGATGCGCTCGAAGACGACGGGGAGGACCAGTTCTCTGTCGTCCTCCGGTCCTCCGATTCGAGGTTAAAACAGCCTCTAGGGATTCAGGGTGGCGAGGAATCAATCATCGCCCGAGCCCCGCCCCCTCCGCAGACATGTACGACTTTCGCATGGTAGCTCGCTGACAGGTAACTGCAATTCGAGTCGAATTCACACCGAGTACGTTTTTCGGAGAATCGTCCCATTCAATCATCGGAATAATTGAGACTCACCCGCGAGGGCGATCATTTTGTTCGTTCATTCCTTTTTTATCGTGAACTTCCATGTTCGCCATCGGGATCGCAGCAACGAGAAGCTCGAGGCTTGTCAGGCGCATGCTTTCAACGTCGCTCCATCAACAGAAAGATGTCCAGACTGCACTCGGAGGAAGCCTCGATCGAAAAGTGGTTGACCACACAAAGAGGAAAGTCCTCATCGGGATAGAACTCAGAAACTCACAAGTTCAATGCTGCTACAGCGAAGCTTGACAGGGGAAGGCTGATTTATGTCAGCGCAGAAACTTCTTTCTACCTCCTTTCCACATCCCTACCAACGGCAGCGGTGAAGACCCTTCCCGCCGAGTTCGACCGGGATCCGATGGCTCCCAGAGGGCCAGAGGGGCAATTGACATGACGGCAGCGAATACGGCGGACCGGCTAGGAAGCAGGCCGCTCGGTAGGTCGGGAGCAACGATGGAGGCCAAAATAAGCAACGCCTTTGGCAGTCCGGTCGAGCCAAATTTCCCCTTCTATCTCTCCGTACTCGTTTCCCTGCGGATTGCTCCGCTCTTCTCAACGAGTATATTGGAGGCCTCTTCGGTTTTTGTATCTGCTCGTGTTCCAGCTTCTGGTCGCTCGGACACTCGGTCGGCCGCTCGGTTGCCCAGGAAAGCCGCAAGAAGCGAATGTTTCTACCAAGCCCGATATAGTCGTTCTCCTGACAACGTTCGACGCATGAACGACGCAGGATATTCCTCCAGCTTTCGACGTCGTCGACGAGGAGACTTATCGTTTTTATGAGCTTCCACTCGAACTAGAGCCCATGATCGCACTGCTCCGGACGGACGGTCAGAACAAAAGTCTCATGCTCCAATGAGCTCTGATGTTGTGATCCACCAGACAAGCCAGCGCGCCGGTCTTCCGGATCAAGTATCCGAGCGTTTCTTGCCCTGTGCATGGTGCACCTAATCTCGTCCATCGGATCGCGATACGATGAGCACTGCACGGTCTCGGTCAGCCGCTTTTGATAGCTTATTGGGAATCGCGTTGCATTTCAAGCCACCTTAGCACTGTGGTCATTCGCCGTGTGAGCTGTTGCAGGTTGGTCACGGTACGCTTACATGAGCTGCATCATCGAGAATGGCTCGTCGAAAGAGGTCGCTCCTCCTGGCCTGTCGTCGTGGGCTTTTGCTTTTCCCCTCTGCGGAGGGTTCTTCGAGATTTCCTGTTTTTCCCAATCTCTGTTCTGCGGGAGCGGAGACCACACAGCGCACTATCAGACAAACAATCGGCCTGCATTGGTCCGAGGATTCCTGAGGTACGATGGAGAACCGTGTGTATGTGAGTCGAAGCCTCCTGCTCCGAGCAACAGTTCGTTTATTTTCTAGCAGCAAAGTCGACGCTGGCAGCAGGTCTCCGTCCTGTATTCGGAAATAGAGCTTTTTATGACAAACCTGACCGGCCCCGCTGCTCCTGTCGTCCTCCTTGTTAATGTGAGAAATACGACTCTCGGCGCGCTCCCTCCTGCTACCTGGCGCACAAGCACGGAGGGCGCTCTCGCAAGCCAGTTCAAGCTTTAGGAATCGGGCCGTCGAGCCAGACTGACTAGGCGACCGATTCCGAGACGATCTGGATATGAGCAGGGATCAGCCGGAATGCCATGAATCGGATAAATGGGGAACAGCATACAGTATGGGAATCAAAGGGAGAAGCATCCCCCTGGTCGCATGATATCCTCCCATTGTCATTCGACTCCAGCAGCGACCCGGACGGATTGATCGAAGAGAATCGACAGAGTGAATCTGAGGGATTCGATCAAGCGTTTCTCATCTCAAATCAGGACGTCTTCAAGTAAATCTTCGAGATTCCCACCTGGGACCTTCGTTCGCTCCGATTCTCTTAGACTGGCTCAAACAGCCCGTGATTACCGTAAGTACGGCCGTACTGCCGCAAGCAGACACTTGCCTCAGCATGAGACTCACACCGGTCTCGGGCTACACCATCGCCGTGGCGGCTCCCAGCGCTGCTGCGACAAATGACGCTGGAAACGGAGGCTCGGAACGACCCTGAATCCTACGCAGATGGTTTAACGAGCAGTTTATCCAGTCGAGCGTCGGCCGATGCCGGCAAGGCCACCTGCCTCCTCCGCCAATGCCGACTGCAGTTTCCCTACGCACAATGGCCCACCATCAGAAAGAGACCTTCTCCTACGCTAGTTTCATGGGAGTGGAATGCAGGGGAAATGATAATAAACAACGCGTTTTTCCTACCGTGGAATTCTTCCTCACATCCATTGACCATTCAGAGCCCGCCAACTGCGAGCTCCACGCACCTCCGAGACCGTCTCGCGCTTTAGCACCATGAACTCGACGAGCGTGATGCGAATTCGGCATGAAAAATGAGTTCGCGCTCGCGACTGCGGTCCCAAGATGCTGCCAGAGTCCTGAACAAAGATGAGAACTCCCAGCGGCGTCGGCCGCAATAAACGGTCACGTTTTTCGCAAAGGACGAACAAAATAAGTCGTCTTCGAATGCGAAAATTCAGATTGTTTCTGACGGGGCTCGAGCAATGCGCGCTGGCGCATAGGTCGAGCGACGCTTTCAGGCGAGCCGAAATCAGGACCTTAGCCCGTGGATACCGTAGATGCGGCTTTACTGCCATACCTTGGTGCTATATCCGACGATAGCCTCCCAGTGAGACTTCCGCGCCGATTTCCGGTGCAGGCGAAGTTTTCCTCGACTGAAAATGATGTTTTGCTTTGCAGGCAACGGTTACATCGAAGGTAGGGAGCTGGACGATTTTCTCCGCGAGTTTGTCTCCAGTGTTAGCCTCACCGATGTGGGACCCGAGGTGAGTCCGGGAGCCTTCGCTTTGAACTCGAACCTAGAGCTGTCCACCTTCTGCCACAAATAGATGCTTGAGATGACCTCTTTTCGAAGAGAATAAACACGCTTCAATCACCCCCATCCGCGTTGTTGGGGTGGTCGAATGATATTCCCTCGGAGCTGCTCCGGAAACCCAGAGAGGAGCCACAGCAAGGGAAATGGAAGTCGCTTGGAGACTCGTGAATCGTAGCAGCGCATTTCACTCGTTCTCATCGACGCTCTGGGGGGAGGTATTGAGCTGGACAATGCGGAATTGAGGAGGTTCCTCTCCCCCGGAGGCGGGACTTAGACTCCCGCTAACCCCTAAGCCGTCTTTACTGAAATTGGTTCCGAGGATAATAGCTACAGCGACTGCCGAGGCGGCTCCGACGAAGTCATTACGGAGAAATTACTTCGGACCCCGGATCGCGTATTAGCGTGCGCGTGCGTACGTGCGCGTTTCCTCATTCTTGTGGAGGCCTTGGTCTAGGAAAGGATATCCACCCGCCCAAAGCTGCCGCAGATAAACAACATGCACTAAATTTTCAAACCCATCGAGGAGAACCTATTTGCTCAATTTCTCTTTATAGGTCGTGTCGGAGTCGATGCTCGAGGAACTCCGCGAGTGCTTTATGGAAGCCTACGACGATAACAAAGACGGTGAGTCCCCCCCCCTTCCTGTCGCGAACGGTTGCAGTTTCTGCGACCGCCGAGTTGAATTTCACCGCGCTCGTGAAATCCCAGGGATTTCTGTTCTCCCGACCTCGAGAAATCATCATTGACGACAGGACGAGCACTTTCGAGCAGGAAATCCCTCTTTCTGTCAATCAGACTGGAATTCCGCTTTAGGCTCATTTTTATGACAAGAGGAACAATTACGTGATCCGGCTCCACCCACGGACGTCTATCCCGCTCGCGCGTCCTTGCTCGCTCTGGTAGCGGGATTCCAAGATTTCTCTTCCTTTCGCGGTCGCGTGCCGCCTTCGAAGTCTAAGAGGTTTTAGCCCTCGGCAGCGAGGCCGCCATCAGCACTTCCGCAGGCCGTTTTTTCTTTCCGACCTGTTTTCATTGGAGCTCAATTTTTCCCGATTTGTATTTTCCGATACGACTGTCGAGTCGGCGCCAACGCCGGCAAGCTCAGGGTGAGAATTGGTCTGGATGGCGGCTGGGCCTCCCGCGCGCGTGCCCGCCAGAGGAACAAACTCGCCAGGGGATATATCTTTCAGCTTCTATTAGTCTCTATGATTAACTAATGGAGATGTCTCCTGCAGGCAAAATCGAGATCCGGGAGCTGGCGCAACTCCTGCCGCTTGAAGAGGGATTTCTACTTCTCTTCCGATTCGATAACCCGTTGGATAGTTCAGTCGAGTTCATGAAGGTTTGTTTTCGTGTCTGCTTACGAAAACTCGTTAGGGTTCGCCTCCTCGAGGTATTGGTCTGAATCCGAAGCAAGACCTCGACCCGAAGCCAGCCATCGAGAAACAAATATTTCAAATTCCACATACGAGCGGATCATTGATTCCCATCTGGGAAATACATCAACGATCGATTTCCATCTGGGACACGAATCGACGGGTCCCCGGGAACGTTCGGAAATCTCCAGCCCCAATCCCCTCTCAGAGCATCTATTGCGGGTCAGCAGTCGTGGCTTCTCGCACGCCCATCTCATGGAGCTCGCAATCCGATGAAAAGTTCGATGGGGCAACTGAAGAATTCGCATCCCGCCATATCATATCCTGATTATAATTTTCGCACTTTTTTGGAACAGATTTGGCGAGACTACGATACCGACGGCAGCGGCTATATCGAAGCTGACGAACTCAAGGTGAGAGGAGGCATTTTTATAGCCCTCATTTGCAGTTAGTAGGGCTTGCGAAGCAGGTCTCAGCGGAGACGACAACGAGCCGAGCACGGGACACCTCAACAACGGACCGACGTAAGGTCGGGCACATTGGCGATACGTAGCAGAAAGGAGACGGGCAACTCGGGAGACAGTCGGACGAGGTTGACGGCCGGTCAAGCAGGAAGCTGATTCAAGCTCGTTGTCGGGTGACCGTGTTTGTTGTCCTTATTCGCATAAAACAAGCTCCAGTATCTTTCGAGGCGTAAAAACGCCATACGTGTGGCTGCCTTCACCGGTCAAGATGTTGGCGCCTAATCATTGGCTGATGTGTCCAGTCTTATCGTGGTGATGACACTGAGCGGGCTCTCAGTCGACTCGGTTCCTTTGTCGCGGGGAGACCCTCAGGCTACGGGAGACCCATGACTATTCTGCGGATCTTGTCTCTCCGTCTTCCCTGGTGTCGCCGATCTCATTCCGCCGCCATCTCGGACTCTCCGCATCCCGGCCGGCATCAATCATCTACCCGCTCGAGCTTCGAGTTTCCTCAGGTTTAACCCCGCGCTTGAAGCTGGGGAATGCCATCTTTTTCCCGGGGTTCGAATCAAACACCGTGGCTCAGTCGCTCCATTGTTTGGGGATCCAGAAAGAGAGATCTGCGGGGAACTCTTGCACGGCCAAGCACCAGCTCGCGGATGTAGCATCTGAAAATCGCTTCTCGACTTGAAAAGTGCTCACTCAAGCAAGGCAAAGAGCCTGATCCCGCGCAGCACTCTTATTCGAGGAGGGAAGTTGATTGCGTGAAGTTTCCGAGCGAACGTTTCCATTTGTCTTCTCGAGCTCGACTTCTCCAACGCACACGCAGTTATAACAGCGGCGAGTAGCCACTGAGATCCTGCAGCTCTGCGGAGAATTCCGAATCTGAACATGGGCCGCTTCCCTGATCACATATTCGCGATAGCAGGCATACAGTCAACTTCCCATAATTCGGAATGGCAGTGTGTCGATTTCCCGAAAGAGAGTCCGAGTTCCGAGTTATGGGAGGCCATAGATATGAGAATACGGATTTTCGATCACGGCCCCGAGGACGTCTTATTCAGATTGAAATTTAGTAGGAATCACCTCAGATGCTGACGGTGGAAGTGAGTGTCTCTTGGCGGGGAGATATACTTAGGGGAGAACACATGTGGAGATTTGGAGAAGACAATCTTTATTCCAAGTGAGAAGGTCAAATTATGCCCTCACGACCTCGTTTGTGGACTCACTACATACGTCCCTAAGAGAGCTACAACCAACGATAGACATTCGTACACTTATCGACAATCGACAAGAGCACCGCTCAACTCTTAAAGTAGGACCGTATATCTCTCTGGGCATCATTCTTGAACATATCTGCCATAACAATTCCCAGATACTTGTTGAATGAGCGACCGATATCTGGCACAGCTTCCGATCGCTGTCCGCAGTGTCTTATCAGGACCTCGAGAGCTCCAATCGCTTCTCGGTCAGATACTCTGGGATCTTCCGTTTCCTCGATTGTAACATCCCAGTCGTCGTCCAGGCCGAATCCACAGTCCTCATCTTGCCGAGCTTGCAATTCGTCATCTTCCGAAACGATGCCATCAAGCAGATCGCGAGTCGACCAAGTTTTCATCGAAGTCCACATACTCCTTGAAGGTCAGATTATGAGGGAAATGAGGCGAGAGATCGCAGGGTTGACAGATTCTGGATTGTTCTGACCCAGATCCTCTGATGGCGAGTCATTTCCGAGCCTCCCGTGCACACCCGGCAAGCCGTGATTGAAGCACTTCTCGATGCTAGAAGCCGGGACTTCATCCCATGATTCTCGTAAGAAACGGATCCCTCGCAAAATGTTGATTTCCTTGAAGGCTCCATCGACCGTTTTAGACTGTGACCAGTAGTAGTGCACGAGTTTCTTCTTGTACAAGGCCTTAGTCATGCGTATCACGCCTTGGTCCATTGGTTGGGTCCTCGACGTCGAATTCGCCGGGAGGAATAGAATCTCAATGTTTGGAAGTTCCAGTCTGAGGTCCGGTAAATGACCTCGGAAATTGTCGAGTAAGAGAAGAATGCACCTTTCATTTCGCCCGCAATAGGCCTGGAGATTGACAAGCCATTCGCTGAAAATTCGAGAGTCCATCCAGGCTCTCCGTTGGTGCCGATATTCGCAACCTAGAACATCTGGTGCGTGATGCACTTGGCTCCTTGGTTTTTTCGGAAACAACGTGGATTCATACTGCGCCAGATGACTAAGGGTGTCAACTTCTCTGAGCCTGACCAATTGGCACACAGTAGAACGGTGAAACGTTCCTTACTTTGTTCTCCTCCGTGGCACTTTTCTCCTTTGAAGTGAACTGTTCGTTTCGGGAGCATCTTATAGAAGAAGCCTGTTTCGTCCGCATTGAAAATGTCTCGCGGATCATACTTCTGAAGCGTCGGTTTATGACGCTCTAACCAGAGCCTGATATCTTCCTCATTTACCTTCTCAGCCTCACCGCACATTTGCTTCGTAGACAGACCATGACGAGTTTTGAACCCATCCAACCACTTGTCGGAGGCTTTGAAGTCCACAACACCAAGATTACTCGCGATCGTCTTTGCTTCTTCCTGCAGCCAAGATCCGCAGATGGGGAGCGTTCCTTGGTTTCGACGTGCTTCCACGAATCTCCTGAGCAGGATCTTCTCGATGACATTGAACTTTGGTGGCTTGAAGCGTTTCTGACGGTTCGCCGTGGTACCATCGGCGGCTTGCATGCGGATCTTCGCTTCCTCGCTTCGGATTTTATACACCGTGGATTTTGAAATTTTCCATTCTTTCATCACATCGCAAACGCTTTTCTTTGCCAGGCTGTCGAGTACTCTCACTTTGTCCCTCAAGGTCAGAGAGTGATTCTTATGGATCCTGGGCGGAGACATCGGGTAAAATCTACATAGAGCACTGTGCGATAAAATGATTCCACCGTCCGCGATTCCACGACGGGTATCGAATCATCGGCATCGTTCGAATGTCCTCGCGGTCGGAGACGTGCTTTGTGTTTAGACACGCGCGTTCAAACTTATTTTGGGTGGAATGTGCTACCAGATAGGCAGAGAGAAAAAGTGGAGCGGTGGAGGGAGCTTCCCGAGATACTCGTAGGATTTAAAATCGCGGAATAAGCGATTCATGCTGCGGCTAGTTCCGATTTAGAGACTTTCCTGGGTTCCGAGTTCTGGGACGATTTCCGAGTCAGGGGAGGCATTTTCTTTCATGTAAGCAAACTCTCTCCCCTGGAGATACGTTATAGCTTGACAGTCCCTGATGGGTCTGTTGGCCCGTGACACGGAACCGGGGCTTTAACACTGTTCTCAGAGTCCGAATTAGGCTCCGAAATCCAGTCCGAGTTCCGAGTTGTAGGGTGATTCCGACTTACGAGATTCCGAATTATGGGAAGTTGACTGTATCTGCAATGATGCGGATTCAAAAATTAGTGACGGGTTCTCACGTGCTCTTCACTTCGTCCGCGCCTCCGCTGCGCCTGGATTTCCTCCGTTCATATTATTCGCCAGTGAGAGCACAGCGCCTATGATGGCGGGTCTGCTCGGATCCTACGACGTCAGAGGTGTCCACCCCGTTCGGCTCCGGGGCAGAAAAAAGGAAGGTGGAAGCTCGCTCACAGACTTCTGTTTGCTCTTTCGACTTATTGACTCAATAATCAATATCTTGATTTTTTCGTAGCGGAATATTCACCGATATGGACAGCGAAAGCGAATTATCCTGATGCTTTCATGCTGTGATATATGATGTTCCTACGCAAATGCCGAAGCGGCCGGGACGGCGCGGGCTTGCTCACAATCTAATGCCGTGAAGCATTCGTTTTGCGAGGACCCCGTGCCCGAGGAGCTCTATAGTATCCCCTTGTATCGATTATGGCACATACTGTCAGCGTTCCGGAGTCGCGTCACACTTATTTTACATAATACACATACAGGCCTCTCTAGACTCGTGAGAATGCGGTTGAACATCTCCACGAGGCCTGAGAATCGAGCATTGGCCACTGCAATGAGGGATGGACCCGTGCTCACTTCGATCCACGCGCAAATCTAGCAAACAACTCGTTCCTCCGAGGATTCCAGCTCTAGAGCACTGTATGATGAAATGATGACTTCCGAATAATGCGCTCTGAGGAAGAAAATACGTGGAATGTTGTCGCCCCAAAATGGTCTCAGCAAGTCTCGTCTTCAGTGGATCGCCGATCCCTATTCGTGAATGCTCGTCATTCAAGCCCGCATACTATGTCGTGGAATTAGAGCCACCAAGAAGCAAGCAGCGAGATATATTCGCGGAAATCCAGCTCCCCTCGGGCTTTCCAGAAGCTGGGAATTTCTTGAAGACCTCCGGCCCTGAGAATGATCTGCCGGATACGCCTCTTGCCTTGCTGGCTCGAATTTGACTCGGTACAGCGCGTTCTTCCAAATTGCCCCTTCATTCCAGAACTTCTTGAAGGATCTTCTGCGCGAGGCGAAACGTGACAACATCGAAGAAGATAAACTCATCGAGTATACTGACACATTGGTGAGTGACCCCTCCCCCTGAGCTCTGGATAGGAATTTCCTCGAGAGAGAGCACCGTCGACCCGGGTCGATAGTCCACAGAATCAAATTATCGCTCCGTAATTCTCATTCCAGCTCCAAATTTTCGACAGCAACAAAGATGGGAAACTTCAATTGAGTGAGATGGCGAAGTGAGTAGACGCGCGGGCGACGGAGATGAGCGGTACGCATCGAACAATCAACTCCAATAACGCGCAAACGTCTCTTACAGGCTGCTTCCTGTGAAGGAAAACTTCCTCTGCAGATCAGCCTTCAAAGTAAGTTCATCTGCATCATCCCCCCAGTGAAGCTTTTGAATTCTCGCCCAGCGCGATGCTGCGTCTCGTTCTTGGTCTCGTGTCCTCGGCGGAACTCAGGGTCACTAGTTTCCATATTCCCGGGAACAAATCTCTCGAGCCGCAGTCAGCGGAATCCTCGTTCAGCGGTGAGGTCCGGAATTCCGAACCAGCAACGCATCGAAGCTGGCCGGAATGGAATAGTGGGAACATGCGGTGCCGTAATGAAGGGCTCGCCACGCACTCGTGGATGCATAATCATATTACTCCCTATGGGGGGCGGCTGGCTCACTGCTCTGTCTCGATAATTACGGCTCGAAGCTCAGGATGAACTCGAACTTTGTTCGACTTCCGGGGGATTCGTAAGGTCGCGATCCTAGTGATTCTATTTCCTCTCATCAGCAGTCTGAATCTCACTGTCTACGTCAGAACGTCTTATATGTAGTACTTCTAAAGAGAGATCCGCGATTTAGGGAATGCTTGGTCTGGAGCGCACGGAAGGCCCATGCTTCCGAAATTCGAAACCAGTATCCCACGGAGCTTGAGATTCTCCACTGGCGGCCGGGAAGGGGGGGCTCAGCTGCCGTCCGATCTGATACACTGCAAGTGCTTCTATGGCCGATTGTTTAATGATCGTCTTCCCAATATACAGGGCGCCAGTAAGTTGACCAGGGAGGATATCGAGAGGGTATTCGCGCTTTACGATAGGGTAAGTGTCAAAGCCGCTCCGAGAGTTCTGTGAGTGATTCTCTCGTAAGCGCTCCCTCGCGCGGAAACCGGCCGGCTAGTCAGCGGTGCCGCCGGGCCAGCGGCCCACTGCCTCATTCGCATTCATTCGCGTTTGCTCTCGCGCCCGCAGAATTTCTTCCAGCCGGGGGGGAATATGAAATTCCTCATACTCGGGGACTCATGCTGATAACTAATATATGTAGATTCGAGTCCCGCCAGCGTCACGAGGCTTCGCCTCTTACTTTACTCCAGAGTCGCAGACTTCGTCTTCGTACACGAATTCAGGCTTATGAAGCAGGGCAATACGTAGGAATTACAGACCTCATTGACCGTTGAGCCGAGCGCAAACAGAAGTCCGATTGAGGCGCGGAGTTGTCCCCGAGAGCAGAACACACTGTTTGAATGCAGACACGAACTCCTCCGCCGGCTCGAGAGTCTCCTAACCTGAAATCAAGGTGCTCGCGAATGAATCGCGAGATTCAGATTACGCATGGTCAAACGCATGGCCCTATGGATTTGTGTGGAAATTCTACTCTCGGAGAGAATTTCCACGGACCGCGGCACAGTCGCCCGAGCCTTCGTTCTCTCCTGAAACTCAAGTTTCCGAGGGAACTTGGACTGCTGCTCTCTCCTCTCCTCCATCTCGCAGATCAGCGATTCTACTTGCCGAGCGTTAGATCATCGTCGACGAATTGTGAACAGTGCGACACTCGAGCTTCGTTGATTGATTTTCTCTCCCGCAGGACAAGAACGGAACCATCGAGAATGAAGAACTCAAAGGATTCCTGAAGGATCTCCTGGAGCTAGTGAAGAAGGTAATCCTGGACGGTTCTGATCGATAATTTGACTGTGATCCCGACTCTGACGGTGGAATAACCCGATCTCCTAGGCTGAAGGGGGTCCGAATCGCGCAGCATGAACGATGGCACCTCAATTCATCCAAACTTTCTATCTATCTCTCACGAAGCCCTCATGGAGGCTTATCAGAGCCCTCTATCGCTTGAATGAACAGCCGCTGTAGCGCCCCACTACGATTCTACACGTAGTGCGTAGCAGCTCCAAGCCGGCTCGATCACTGTTAGTGAAATCTTCACAGTCAGACTTTTTAAAAACATGAAGCCTCAGATCTCAGGGTCATTTTGCGGAGATAAGTCACGATGAATCGCCCCAGGAGCGATTCCCTGAAGTCGCCGAATCTGAATTGAGACGCAATCCACCAACCCGCGGCAGATGGTAGCAAGGAGTCAAACGCGTTCATTTTCCAATCTCTGGAAAAGCCCGATCAAGACTGATTTCTGCTCGGAGTGCTTAATAACATTAATGTCGTGATAACCTTACAGGACTACGACGCTCAGGACCTGGAAGAGTTCCAGGAGTCCATCCTGAGAGGATGTGACTTCAACAAGGATGGGAAGATATCTAAAAAAGAGCTGACCATGGTTCTCTTGGCCTTGGCAAAGCAAAACGACGTCGAGCCGTCCACGACGAAGTAAGCTACGCATCACCATTGTCAAGGAGGCAAGCGAAATCCGGTGCGAGCCGTAGCCCCAGCAACGATGACGTCCTGATTCAATGTCGAAATTATTCATCGTTGCGCCCGACCGCTGACCGTTTCTCGTAAGCGAACAGTGTAACAACGTGCAGCTCCAAGCTTCCGAAAGCAGCAAAGTTTATATAGACAGCTTCAATTTCATAGATCGTGCGTCAGGTCAAGCGGTCGCCAAACGAGAATTCGTCTGATCCGACGGCTCACGTCAGTGGTCCCACAGAGATATGATTTCGGAGGGGCGGACAAATTGAGTGGCAGCCGAAAGTTCTTAGATAAGGCAACGTTATCAGGAAGTTTGATTTCGGATTCCGCGTCTCGGATCATGAAACTTTCCGTCACATATTCACTGACACGAATGAATAGTCAGAGCGATCCCGGCGACGTTATCAGCACGAAAAGCCTAGGGAGCGAAGGTATTACCATCAGAATACGAGTTAATGTAATGTGCAGTCACGTAAATGGTGACTGCAGCAATCCAGACGACACCTGAAGATGAACATGACCACCCAATACCGCCAATACCCCTGACACTATTTCTCCTTGTCTGTCAAACTTCAATGAGAACCCACACCACGACACTCAATTCACCATCTGCATACAGGATATATGCCGAGAGAGCGCCGAGCCCGGGGGCCTCTGCCCGAAAAACACCTGTTGGCTCGGACGCTCTTCAATTTGTCACATCGAATCGGCACTCAATGACACTCAAAGCATTGGATCAATTGCAAGCCACGAATGTCGAGAGCGATGTTTCCCCGGAGCACGTAGCAACTCTCGACCTAGTAGCTATCAAAAGGCATCATATCGTGGACACGTACCTAGACCTGGGAGGAAGCCAATCCGAGAACCTATTTTGAGCTCACAGAATTGTTCGCTGGAAGATTCATCCAGTCACCGGACGAACAAGCAGAGTTTTCATACTCCGGAAACCTCTCGAATATACTCATCCCGACTCCCTGCCAATATGAACCGCTTTTCCCGGCCACGAGTCGAGCTCTCACAAGTCATAACATATCTCGTCGTTTTTTGCAAGTCGTCAACCCTCGTACGACACACGAAAATGTTGAATTTGACGTAGACGTGATTGTGTGACTGTTTCTATCAGTTATACGTCTAGGTGAATTGACATGTATGAAAGGCTACAAAAGCTGCTGCGAGCCAATCAGCAAACAAGGAGTAAACGCAGGTCGCCTCAAATTGGGATACACCCCGTCGACAGCGCAACGCCTAGCTAAACATGTTGGAGAAGGATTCCTAGATTAGATTCTACTGAGCTCGGAAGTTCTAACCTCGATCGCGGTGTAGCTACAACCGAATGCGCAACAATCGTTTGAGCTTGAATCTACTTCGATGTATTTGGTGTTCGAATTCTCGCAACTCACGATAGGCTCGGTTAGCACTACCGGGAATGAATGACAGCCACAACAATGAGATATTCAACGATTACGAGCTCATCCCAAAACTATGTATACCTCATGGCCAAACCACCCTCGCGAATCATAATCCGGACTTCGATTGCGTGACCTTGCTTCTGGCACCGCCAGAGAGCCGCGTGTCAAGGTCCAGTTGTCCGTGAACTCATAATCCGCCCGATTCCGGATGCACATGTGACATTTTCTTTCGAAACGCCTTGGGAAGGGAGTTCCGGAGAAAATCGTTTTCCCGTAGAGCTCCTCACGGTTCATCCGGAATCCATTGAAAATTCTACGAAACACCCTCCCTGAGCTGGAGGAACTCCTCAGCTCCTCAGAAATCAAGAACTCCGATCTATTCGGTTTTACCCTGGCGGCCAAAATTCAGAATCCATCAGTCGGGCATATAGCACTGGGAGGGTTCCGCATGCAATCTGAACGATACGCGAACATCCTTGACTCTTTTTCAAACCAGCTTCCTCTGGCTTGCTTCATGCGAGTTTTACCCAAGTATTCGATCGACACGTTCAGATCCAGCAACTGGAAACATCTAGTTAGGAGCCAGAATGAGAGGTACGTCGGGACGACGCATGCGATACCTTTCATACGACAAAAGTGCCACTCGAAATCTTCTTTTGAAGGACGTTCCCTCGCTTGAGAAGACGTCATGTATCCGAAACTTACTTGCCCAGACCCATGGGCTGAATTCCGGTCCTGATTGTCTCATTCGAAATTTCTCGCCTCCCGAAGACTTTGGAGTCTGAGCCATCCTCCGGAAAGCCGTTTTCCATTCAGAGACGTGACTCCAGCTCATGATCCCCTCTTACCGCAGACGGTCTGATCCAGTGCGAAGCGCGTTACCCGACGGGAACTCCGAGCGGGAATTTGCACGCAGGCTCATTGGAGAGAGCTCAGCGAGGGGAGAATCGTTTGTATAGGATAACATCAAAATCTCAAGGACGGATCGATACCGAATGCTGTAGCCCAGAGCGGACTCCGTATTCCGACTCTAAAATCAGCTGAGAGTTTCGATCTGAATGTGTGTACAAGCCCACTCTGCCGTTCAATCAGCCGATGAGTGGGTCAAGAATATGCTGGGCACGTCCGTATCTGTCAGTAAAAATTTTATGCTGAGAATATGGGGGATAATTATATCTGATCAACTGACTCCTCACCTGGGCACGAGTAAATACCCTCTTCTTCTCCCCATGAGGCGCAAAACGAGCTCTCGCAAGCTCCAAATGCGCGTGGCACTCAGGGTCGGAAATTATCTCTTCACAGAAAGAAATCTCGTCCATTGGAGCCGCAATGTCTACTGATTGAGTTTTCGTCTGCGATCGATTGAGTCGGTCGATCTGTTGACTCTGCTGTTGCATTTTTATTTGAGGATCATGTCCTCGAACAGACCCATAGATCGGTCGCTCGTTAGGGAATCGCTCGGGGATCCTAGGTAGAGGCTCTTCTCGCCTGAGCTTTGGATTCGCGAAACGGAATAATCAATAAAACCAGCTAAGAGTTCCAAACCCGAGGGCAGCAGTGCATTCCTTCGAGGCCGCTGACGTTTTGCTTCAAATGGTCGATTGGGTCGCGAGGAGAATGGGTTGGACCTCCCTCGGGGGGTCTAAGGGAGTCGTGCTCCACAGAGAAGGTAAACAGCTCGATAAAGGGGGATGTTCGTGTTATTCTTCGTCAGTGACGATCTTATCGACAAGGAAGTGGATCGCAGGGGAAGTCGCAAAGGAGCGAGATTGCTGCTCCTTCTCCCCCCTCTGTCGTTTTTCATCGGAGGCTCTGACGAGGACACCTCCTTATCAGGAAAATAACACATATCGGCCGCTTGCACAAAAGGCTAGTTGCTCCATCCGACATACGATCGAGCCTCCTATGCCTGACAACTCACCTGATTGAGTCAGGCGCTTTCTCCCATGTTTCTACCCGGGCTTGGTGTCAACAGACTCACCGAGCAATTCATCTTCGCGTTTCCGCGAAGTCACTTCGCTCCGTGGTCCTCCTATTTCTCATGCTCCGACGCTGTCTGACAAGGTGCTCGATTGTGTGCCACGCATTCATTGAATATCACCGTCCGCACGAAATGATCAATGCGGATTCGATTCTGTCGAATGATCCATGATTCAGTTCTCTACTCCTCTCGGAGCACGGTAGTTTCATTAAATTCCATTTGTCACCGACGGAATCGTACGGTTCATATTCCATCGTTCCTTCTCGTTCCTCAATACAAAGTCGTCGGCCGCCGCTGCCCAGTACTCCTGTCGAGCTTGAATTTTTCTCCCCCGCGCTCTCAGGCTTGGGATTTTATTCTCGAGGCTCTTCATTGGAGTCATAGGTCGCAGTTTCTCGAAAGGTGTCTCTCTTCATTAAACCTGAGCGAATAGCACCATGTGTAATGGTTGGAAGGAGCTTGTTTTCAGCGGAAGATCGATGTGTCTGCGGATGCTTCGGTGAAGCTTTTCGCTAGTCTCCACGACAAGTTTCAAGGATCCAAGGTTTCTGACGCAATCGAGTCTGCAGCGGGCGTCGTCCGTCGAAGCTTCCGGAACGATAGAGTCAAATTATCTCGTTTTTTCCTGACCACGCAGCAGCTAGAGGTATGAAAATACCGTTTCCCCCACAGAGTTCCGACTGCTGCAATCGGTTCATCGGCCCATGCGCTAACCGGGGCTGTGAGACGTATTTTCTGCCTTTGAGGCGGATAGTGAGCCGTAATTTCCGGTAAATTTTCCGAGATTCATCAAATGGAATTCCCTGTCCCCTGCCGGCTGCACTAGTCAAGCCAAGGGACACATGAGTCCGTTTCATTCCATGAGTGGAGCCGGTGGAGGAGCTGAGGACATAGATCTCATTTTCAGGACCGCGGTCGGGTTCAAACAACAGTAAGCGCAGCGAATCGTTGATCCGTTCATGCATTCTCCGTCATGATTTCCGTCTCTTCTCGATCTCGGCGGCGATTCTGGTCTCGCAAGAGCATCTGCAGAGCTGATGCGCTGAATCAGAGTAACAGGTCGTCCGCGCAGCCCGAAACTGCTGCGAATCCCCCTTATTCTTCCGGGAGCCAGGGTCTATAGCTATTCGCAGCAGCGCGGATTCCGAATTGCGGCTGTGGAGCTGTGGATCTTCCCAAGAACAGTGAGGAATCGTTCCCCAGAGCGCAGGCCTATTCTCTAGATCAGCGGTTCCCAACCTGGGAGCCGCGGCTCCTAGGGGAGCCGCGGGACTTTTCTGGGGGAGCCGCCGAACCTGGTAGCCGCGGACGAATTTCTGGTGTAGGTCCGGGCCGTCAGGGTTTGTCAATTCCAAGGGAAGGTTCCGAAACGGATCGACTTCATCTGCCACGGTTGTGTCCCCGCCATTCGGTTCAAACCTATTCGGCCCAACTCTATCGAGAAGTGAACGAAGCTAAAATAAAGTCTCACTCGCTTTCACACCACCGCACGGAGCACCTTTTGTTTCCTTGTGTCTTCCCCGCAGAGAAGACTTCATACACCACTGAGCTTTTTCCCGTGAGCTTCGAGAAGCTCAACTCTTCTCTTCCATCGAGAGAGATTGGACTCATTTGTTAGAGAGCTCTGGTATGCCCG